CGTCATAGAACTTTGTAGGTCGAACTCTCCTCCTACTTATTCTTATATAGTTGTTCAAAAATGTTAGGTCATTGAACACGATTCCCATAGTGTCCATTTGTGGTGGATCAACGGGAGGAGGAGGAGAGGGGTTGCGGTACCTAGCACCCGTGTTTCTAGTTCGATTTCTTCTAGACATGGTCGGTCTCAATGCAATGCAATCAAACAAACCAAGACAAAATAATCCCTCGCAACCACACAAATAGACTAAGTCCACAAGTCGACCAACCAAAGCTCAAACAAGGCCAATGAACACAACACAATCAAGTCAAGTTTTAAGTCTCCCACCTAAAACAAGCAAATCACCAAGCAACAAAGACCACTTCAATAATGCATCTACAACAATTTTACATCGATTTCATGCAATATTATCAAACAAACCAACACAACAATCCACCTAAACAAGCATGTTCTTCCTTCATGAAAATCAATTTTTCAACCTCACTTAAAAAAAAATCCAATTCTCAAAACACACCAAAATTCATTCAAACTCAATAATGCTTTTCAATTATCAACTATCAATCACTCACAACCAATTCAAACAAACTTTCGCAAGCAATTTCATGCAAAAATTCAAGGAATTAAACATGAAATTAGTAAAAGGGAGGAACGATTATACCGAGCTTATCGTGGGTGTAAAACCCGCAAATGAACCTTTTTAACCTTCCTCTTGCTTGCTTGAACTTACTCCTCAACCAATTTTCTTGAACTTCAACTCCAAAGAAAACCCCCAAATTGATTTTTCAAGGTTAGGGTTTGAGTATTTTGGGTGATTTTTGGGTTTGAATGTGAGAAAAGAGTAGTAGATTGTGAAAATGTTGAAATGGAGTGAAGATTTTGGAGAAAATTATTGAATTTGGGTGAGGATTTGGGAGAGAATGGAGAATTTAGTGGGTTTTGAAGGAGGAAGTAAGAGTTTTAGAGAGAGGAGGAGTGAGAATCGTGAGATAGATAGTGTGAAGGAGTGAATTTTTTTTTTTTAATGTTATAACCGTGCTACTGCACGCCATTTTCGGGGCGGCACGGACGTGCAACATTTGGCACGGACGTGCAGCCTCAGACAGAAACGTGGGTAGGGTACTGACTTATTTGGCACGGACGTGCAACATGTGGCACGGACGTGCTAAGTTGCACGGACGTGCGTAATTTAGCACGGACGTGCAGCCTCAGACAGAAATTTAGGTAACATACTGACTTGTTTAGCACGGACGTGCAGGACTTAGTACGGACGTGCTTAGCCACCTTGCACGGACGTGCTTAATTTGGCACGCCCGTGCTAATCTCGAGAAATTTATTTCAAAATTTCTGATTGCTTCTGACTGCCTCTGCACGGACGTGCGATGCTCTGCACGTCCGTGCAGACCTGTTGCTGCACGATCCTTTCCTTTTTTTTTTTTGAATAATAGTAATAGTAAGGCATAATAATATAAAATTATTATCATTACCATTATTATTATTATTGTTATTATTATCTACTACTTCACTTCCACAAAAACCTTTTCTTACTTTTCTTTTCATCAACACCTACAAAAGACATTGAGAGAAAAGTTAGTAATAGTAAGAGTGATGGAAATTAAATAATAGTTTGTGAGAGAGAGAGAGAGTTGAGAAACTCGGGTTGCCTCCCATAAGCGCTCTTTTAACGTCACTAGCTTGACGACATTGCGAGATCAATGAGAGTAGGGAACATCAAACTCATCAAGGTGAACAACCTTGGCTTCCTCATGCACAAAACCGTCAAAGTATGCCTTAAGCCTTTGGCCATTCACTTTGAACGGTTCACCATTGTCATTTGAGATTTCTATCGCTCCATATGAAAACACCTTCTTAACGGTGAAAGGTCCACTCCATCTTGACCTAAGCTTACCCGGAAAAAACTTCAACCGGGAATTGAAAAGTAGGACCTTATCACCTTCCTTAAACTCCCTTTTGCTAATATGCTTGTCATGCCAAGCCTTGGTCTTTTCTTTGTAAATCCTTGCACTCTCATATGCATCCATTCTTAATTCTTCCAAGGCGTGGAGGTCAAGCAACCTCTTCTTACCGGCGCTTTGAAGGTCGAAATTCAATGTTTTGATAGCCCAATGAGCCCGATGCTCAAGTTCTACCGGCAAGTGGCATGACTTCCCATAAACAAGCTTGTATGGTGTGGTGCCAATAGGAGTTTTGAACGCGGTGCGATAGGCCCATAGAGCATCATCAAGCTTTGTAGACCAATCTTTTCTAGACCTATCCACCGTTTTCTCAAGGACCATTTTTACCTCCCGGTTTGAAATTTCAGCTTGACCACTTGTTTGGGGGTGGTAAGCTAATGACACCTTGTGCCTCATACCATATTTCTCAAGGAGAGATTGAAAGGATCTCTTTGCAAAGTGTGAACCTCCATCACTAATCACAGCCCGGGGCACTCCAAACCTTGGGAAAATTACTCTTTTGAAGAGCTTGACCACAACCTTAGCATCATTAGTAGGAGATGAAACCGCTTCCACCCACTTTGATACATAATCGACGGCCACTAGAATGAACTTGTTCCCAAAAGAGCTCGGGAAAGGCCCCATAAAATCGATGCCCCATGCACAAAAATCTTCAAGTTCAAGGATGTTGTTCAAAGGCATTTCATTTCTTTTTTAAATATTAACGATTCTTTGACACCGGTCACAAGCTTTCACCACACCCCACACATCTTTGAACATTGTTGGCCAAAAGAAACCGCATTGTAATATTTTCGCCAAGGTCTTGTTGGCACTCATATGTCCTCCACAAGGTGAGGAGTGACACATTGTGATAACATCTTCAATTTCATTATCCGGGACACACCTTCTAAAAAGGCCATCAACACCTTGTTTTAAGAGCAAGGGGTCGTCCCAAAAGTATTGGAAAACATCATGAAGAAACTTCCTTTTTTGTTGATAGGAGAGGTCGGGAGGAAGAATAGAGCAAGACAAGTAGTTTGCAATGTCCACAAACCATGGTGCTGGTGCTTGGAGAATAGCAAATAGTTGATCATCCGGGAATGAATCGTCGATTGGCAAGTTATCAAGATCACCTACAAGGATAGGCAACCGTGAAAGATGATCGGCCACCACATTTTCGGCACCCTTCTTGTCCCTAATCTCAATTTCATAGTCTTGTAAGAGCAAGACCCACCGTATCAATCTTGGCTTTGGTTCCTTCTTGGACAAGAGGTACTTCAAGGCCGCATTGTCGGTGAAGACTATGACTTTAGATCCCAACAAGTATGACCTAAAATTCTCAATTGCATGAACAATGGCTAGAAAATCCTTTTCCGTGGTTGTGTAATTCCTTTGTGCATCATCCAAAGTTTTGCTCGTCTAGTAGATAGCATGGAGCTTCTTATCCTTCCTTTGTCCAAGAACGGACCCAATGGAAAAATCCGAAGCATCACACATAAGCTCAAAAGGAAGCTCCCAATTAGGGGGTTGAATGATAGGAGCCGAAATCAATGCCTCCTTCAACCTATCAAATGCTATCAAACAATCGTTAGTAAACACAAAAGGGGCATCCTTTACCAATAATTGAGTAAGCGGCTTTGCGATTTTTGAAAAATCCTTTATGAACCGGCGGTAAAAACCCGCGTGTCCAAGAAAACTCCTTATCCCCTTCACATTTGTAGGGGGTGGGAGGCGCTCAATGACCTCAATTTTGGCACGATCTACTTCAATGCCCCTACTAGAAATTACATGACCAAGAACAATTCCTTCTTCTACCATGAAATGACATTTTTCCCAATTCAAAACCAAGTTCACCTCTTTACATCTTTTCAATACTTTAATCAAATTCGAAAGGCAAATGTCAAAAGATGAACCAAAAACAGAAAAGTCATCCATGAATACTTCAATTAATGATTCAAGCATGTCGGAAAAAATAGACATCATACACCTTTGAAATGTGGAAGGTGCATTACAAAGTCCAAATGGCATCCTTCGATAAGCAAAGGTGTCAAAAGGGCATGTGAATGTAGTCTTCTCTTGGTCCTCGGGTTGGATTGGGATTTGGAAGAATCCCGAGTATCCATCCAAGAAACGATAGTGACTATGTGATGCTAGTCTTTCCAATATTTGATCGATGAAGGGGAGTGGGAAGTGGTCTTTCCGGGTGGACTTATTCAATTTTCGATAATAAATACACATCCTCCACCCGGTGACCGACCTCGTAGAAATGGTCTCACCCTTATCATTCTTGATGATGGTCATGCCTCCTTTTTTAGGCACAACTTGAACCGGGCTAACCCACTTACTATCGGAGATAGGGTAGATTATGCCCGCTTTAAGAAGTTTTAAAACTTCTTTTTTCACAACTTCCTTCATGTTTGGATTGAGCCTTCTTTGGTGCTCAATCGAGGAAGCATGATCATCATCAAGTAAAATCTTATACATGCATATAGTAGGACTTATCCCCTTAATGTCATCAATTTTGTACCCAATGACACCTCTATACTCCCTTAAAACAACTAGGAGTTTCCCAAGAGAGTTATCATCAAGTTTAGCATTGAAAATAATGGGATAACTCTCACTATCATCAAGAAAAGCATATTTAAGTAAAGGATGAAGGGGTTTAAGTTCAACCTTGTGAGGAGGCGTAGTCCTCTCCTCTTTTACCTCCACATTAAGCACTTCCACTTTCTTTTCGTTGTGGACTAAAGGTTGGTTGAGCAAAAGATCATACCCCCTTGTTTCTTCACCTTCCTCAACTAAGCCTCCCGTTAGGCTAGCTTGTAAAGGATCTCCTTCAAACAAATTCTCTTGGAACTTCTCTAAGTCCCTTTCCAATGTATCAACTCTATGAACTTCATCATACAATGGCTTTTTCAATGTTTGTGGGAATGAAAATGATATTTTCTCATCTCCCACATTCAAGGTCAATCTTCCTTGCTTCATATCAATCACAACACCCGCGGTGTTCAAAAACGGTCATCCCAAGATTAGGGGCACCGTAGTATCTTATTCCATTTCCATTACCACAAAATCACATGGCACAAATACTCTTCCAACTTTAACCGGCACATCTTCAAGAATTCCCAAAGGTAGCCTAACCGTGCGGTCGGCCAATTGTAAGGACATTCTTGTTGGCTTCAAGTCTCCCACTTTCAAACTCTTAGCAATAGAATAGGGCATCAAACTCACACTTACCCCAAGATCACATAAAGCATCCATAGCCTCCAAGTATCCAATCTTCACCGGTATTGCATAGCTACCGGGGTCACCAAGCTTTTGAGGAAGCTTGTTTTGAATGATTGCACTCACCTCCTTAGGAAGGGAGATGGTTGCACTCTCTTCAAGCCTACTCTTGTTGGATAAAAGATCTTTCAAAAATTTTGCATATGTAGGCATTTGTGACATAGCATGAAGAAAGGGGATATTCACTTGAAGTCCTCTCATGACTTCAAGAAAGTTTGAAAACTTTTAATTCAATTTCTTTTCAACAATCCTATGAGGGAATGGAATGGGAGGCTTGTATACTTTCATGGGGGGCTTTTCTACCTTTTCCTCATCTCCTTCATTCTTACTTTGTGGCTCCTTTCTCTCAACATCAACTATTTCATTTTCAAACTCACCCTCATTTCTCACCACAACTCCCTCATCTCTCTTTTGTGGATCCTCTTCACTCATAACCGGCCCCTAATAACCTCTCCCCGATCTCAAAGTAATGGCCTTAGCTTTCTCCTTTGGGTTCACAACCGTTGAGCTTGGGAAGTGACCACTATGATTGGAGGATGAACTTCCAACTTGTTGCGCAATTTGAGCCAATTGATTCTCAATTATCTTGTTGTGTGCTTGAAGTTGTTGGATGTTCGCTTGCATATCCGCATTGCTTCTTCCTTGTTGTGTAATGAAGGTCTCAAGTGCGGCTTCAAGGCTAGATTTTTGAGGAGGTGGAGGAGCGGATTGGTTATATTGTTTCCTTTGTTGGTTTTGGTCCCTTTGGTTAGGGTGACGGTAAGGAGCTTGTTGGTTTTGTGGATGAGATTGGTTGTATTGGTTTTGAGGGGGGCCTTGATTTTGTTGTTTCCAACCCGTGTTTTGTTGGGGTTTCCAACCTTGATTGTAGGGTTGAGAGTATTGATCGTTTCTTTTCCCAATAGCCGCAGGTTGCTCTTGGTTAGTTGAGTTTCAATAGGAGGACAAGTGATCATTTTCTCCACAAGTTTCACAAGACATGACTTGTTGTGAATAAGAGCTTGGAGATGTAAGCGTGGCTTGATCTAGCTTGTGAGCTAGCATGTCAAACTTTGATGCAATAAGGTCTATTGCACTAAGGTCGTGGATTCCGCCCTTCTTTGCTTAAGGTTGTCGTCTATCACCTCCGTATGCATAGTGCTTTGCCACTTCTTCAATTACCTTGTATCCATCATCCACCGATAGCTTTTTAAGGCTACCACCGGCCCCGTTATCAAGGTTGGCCCTTGAAGTAGGAGTAAGACCATCATAAAAGCTTTGAACAATGATCCATGATGTGAAACCATGGTGTGGGCATTTTCTAATGTAGTCCTTGAAACGCTCCCAAGCTTCATTTAAGTTTTCATCAATCTCTTGGTTGAAATTGGTGATTTTCCTTCTTAGTTCGGCGGTCTTTTCGGGTGGACAATACTTTCCAAGGCCTTTATCTTCACTTTTCTTCGGTTTTGCTCCATTGTTTCGGCTTTTAACCTCGGTTTATCATCCAAATGCCTCTAATGGTCGTCTTTGAACCTAAAAACCCAACAAAAACACTAACAACCCGTGAAGCAAGGGATACACAAAAGTTGAACAAAAATAGAGTAAAAGTGAACCAAAATGCCAGTATACCAAGTAAACAAGGTTCGAAATCACTCTAAAATCGTATCAAATAACAAGTTATCAGCCTCCAACGATAGTCCACCCACAACTCGACCATCGAAAACGGTCCAATGCCTTGGGGTTAGCAAGGCCCGACCAAAAACCCGAGTGATTAATGAGTTCAAAGGTTTTCACAATGGTGATGCCTTTTCCAACTCTCACTCAAGTGATTTTCCCAATACCCCAACTTGGGTATTTATAGGGAAAATAAGAGAGTGAAAAGCTCTCTCATCAATGTGGGAGAATTTGATTTTTCCATTTTATTTTAAGGCTAAAATAAAATTAATAATCAATATAGTAATAAATCGACAAGTGGCAAGCTCATGTGAGAGGTTAGGTGAGGACCATTTAGAGGAGGGTGGACCAAACTTTCTCCCACTTCCTCTCCCAAAACCGGCCAACACACCCCTCACACTCCTCTCAATTCGCGCCATGTGGCACCCACCCTTGGGCACCAATGCACCTAAGGTGGGCTGCCTTGTCGTGGCTGCTCAGCAGGCCCAGCAGCGCTAGCATGCGCGCAATGGCCCAGCCATGCTGCGGCCGGCGCGCATTGCATGCTAGCTGCTGTAGCTTGTTGCGGCATGGCTGCAAGCCAATGCGCGCACAAGGCAGCACCAGCAGCACTAGCACGCACTAGGCTGTACCTAGTCTTGGGATTCTAGCCTTGGTGTGCTAGCATGCACCAGCCATCCTAGGCTCGGCTTGGTGCGCATGCTAGCCACCATGCCCCTAACACTCGGTTTTCTCAGGGCATTCCGATTCTAGGGGCATTTTGGTCTTTGTTGATTTATTATTATTTTCATGTCTTGCCTTTCATTATTTTTTCGACTCGACTTCCGACGTTCGGTTTCGACGCTCTAAGTTCGAATTCCCGACGTCTAAATATTAAATACTCGATTGACTTATTAATTAATTCATAATTAATTCGTCGCTTCGGTTCGTTAGTTTCTTAGGTGTGACCCGAAGGGTTCAGTCAAGATTAAGCTGTAATATTAATTATGCATTAATATAACTGATCGGAAGCGGCCTCCACCCAGGAATTCCGATCACTTGACCTTACTGAATATATTAGCTTTCTAATAATTCTGAACCCACTAACGAAATAGTACACTTGTTCGAAGGACACCATTCCTTTCACGTGTCGAGCCACCGTGGGCCGTGCCTAGTAGTGTCTCGTGTCGTGTGGTACTTGCAATTTGGCGGGCCATGCCGTGCTGGGCCATCATTTTGCACACCCTAGTCCATGGCACGGCACAGCCCATGTGCCTGGCGTGTCGTGCTGTGCCGGTCACCGTGCCGCACATGTATTTTTTTATCTAAAAAAATTGATATAATTTTTTTGAACAACTTTTAAAATGGATACACTATAAATAATTTTATTAATTTGTGTATATTATTTTATTATTATTGTTCTTTATATTATTCTTATTTTTGTTATTATATAGTTCTTCATTATTTATGTTATTTTTGTTATTAATTTATTTGAAGCAACGAATGAGTAGTTGTTTTGTAAGGGTCGTGACATGCCTGGCGTATCGCATGCCATGCTAGGTCGTGTTTGGTCGTGCCATGTGTCGTGTTGGCGGGTCATGCTCGTGGGCCAAATTATTGTTCTGCCCGCAGGTTTCGTGTTGTTCCCGTGCCAAATTTTCAAAATCGTGAACACGCGGCACGGCTCACGACCCACCCTTCGGTCATCGTGCTCGTGTCGTGTAATTACAACCCCCTTTAGGCAATGCTGCCTACTCCCCCTCCCAAAATTACCAGACTAGCCTTAAACCCCACTAACTGCATCAGTTAAAATAGTTACTACAGTAACTTCCAACTAACCACGGTTAATTCCTCTACCCCACGTTTATATACAAAAAAAAATGAAACAAAAAATAAAAAAGTCATCACTTTCTAGTTTCTACATCGTTCTTCTCCATTTTCTCTCTCATCAAACCTTTTCAAATTGCACAATTCTGGAAAAAAATATGTAAATTTATTACAATTTCAACAACAATGAGTGATATACGAAAAGAAATTGCACTAGCAAAAGAAAAATCTCTAAAAAAATCATAATTGTAAGTTAATTTGTGCATTTTTTATGATTAAACATCACGATTTTTGCTCATCATAACTAATTAAGTACAAAATATTGTTCAAATCTAGTAAACAAAGTAGTAATTACAATACATTGTTCAAAAACGAGTAAAGAAAGTAGTAATTTGTTGGAAAAATTGTCAAAAATAATACAAACTTTATGTCCGCCAAAAACAAGTCAAACTTTTAATTAATTCTAAATAATACAAACTTCGGTGGGTGTTCGCCAAAAACAAGTTTTAACTTGTTAGTAACTTGATTAGCAGGTTATACGGGACACGTGTCAAAATTTTATTGGTTTAGCAATTTAATTTGATTTTTATTTATTTATTTAGTGTATTTTATTTTTAAAAGATTATTAATGTATTTAATTTTATTTTCTTAAAACAAAAAACTCATCCCCACCCAAACCAGCAACTCAGCCACCACTTCCACCCTACCTGCCTCTTGGCGTCGGACGCGCCTAGATCCCCTCCTCCGGCGCCGGCGTCGACACCCTCCCTCGCGCGTCTCCCCCTTTCCCAACCGTTGACTTGAACCACCGAACACCCTCCCCCAAAATCCTCCCTCCATTACAAAACCACCAAAAAAAAATCCATCTCTCACTCTAAAACCCAAATCGGGCCTCCCAGCAACCGATAGAGGGTTCAGTAAGGGTTTTTCGAAGGTGGAACATGGGTTTTTGGTGGTTTAGCGGGGGAAGGAGATTTTTGGGAGGGATTTTGGCGATTTTGCGGAGGAGGGAGTTCGGTGGTTCATCTAGTGTCGAGGAAGAGTGAAAAGGGGTGACGTGTGGGGGGAGGGGAGTCGGCGCCGGCACCGAGCAATGGAGTCTGGGCGCTGCCAGTGCCGGGGGGATGGCGCCGGTGCTCGATGGTGGCTGGTGGAAGACTCATTTTTTTTTTAATTATATTTTTGAAGAAATTTATTTAATATATTTTTATTAATAATTAACAATCATTAAAGTTGTTGTTAAGAGTTAATTAAATAGATAAACAAATTTATTAAAAAAATGATCGGTCATTCAGGTTGCAGGTAAAATAACTTGTTTATAGCGGACACCCTCCAAAGTTTGTATTATTTAGAAATAATCAAAAGTACGACTTCTTTTTGGCGGACCGATGAAAGTTTGTATTAGTTTTGACAATTTTTCCTAATTTGTTTAATTTCTTTTGTAGACCATAAAAGGTAGTTCTAAAAAGCAACAAAGAACATCTGCATTTTGTAAGCGCTATTTACTTAATGTGAAGTTGTTTATTTATCAATTTAGTTTACTTTTCGAAAATGAAAAAAAAAAAATATGCAAAACAGAGATGACGATATTCCTATTCAAAAAAGACTGGAGACATTCCAAAAAAAAAAAAAAAAAAAAAAGTCAACCTAAATCTCCCGTGATTATTGATCCTCAACTTCTAAAGATATAATAATGTCGAGTGGTCCTGCGGAAAATTAAATGTCTCGAATTCCAAGGTATAATGATCATTTATAACTTACTAAAGTTCATAGGTACTTGTTTGTAGTTGTACATTTTTGTAGTGGTCATGCTGATTTTAATTTTCAAAATATACATGTTTGTAGTTGTAGGTTTATATTTATAAAAATCATAAGGACTTATAAAATTGTTTGCCATTGAAAATTAAGTATAGAGTATAATTGTGCTAATTTTCTTAATTATTAGGTGAGTTTTCGTACAATTACTCATATTTAAATTATTAGTTTATATTAAAAAAGACTATTAGGTTAATGTTCATTTTCATTTTGATAGATGTTCATTATGATATTAGTATATGATCATTTACATTCTTACCTTAAATCTACTAGGGTTCAGTCTTGAGAAAAGATTACACTAGTTTTGTGTATGATCATTTACATATTAATGAATGTATACTGCATTTAAACAACACAAATGTTCAAAAAAATCGGATGTACAATAATGCTATTGTAAATCAATAGCAGTGAGCCTCTTCATTACTTTCTTTTATTAGTTTCTCTCTCTCTCCTCACTTATTTTTCACTCACTACGGAAGCCACCGCCGCCGCCACCACCGCGGCAAGCTTGAGCCTCTCTCTCTCTCCTCACTTATTTTTCACCCACTACGGGAAGCCACCATCGCCGCTACCACTGTCGCGAGCTTGAGCCTCGTCAACAGTGATCTAACGGTTGTTGAGTGTTTGGCCGTTCATTCCATCGATCGCGGCATCAAGGTCTTCGTTCCTTGCTTCCAAAGGTAATGATGGTGACGATGCTTGTATGGTAATTGGAAGCATTAGCAGAAATTTTTGTGATAAAAAGGGTCACTTTTGTGGAAAAAAAGGGTCACTTATACGAAAAAAAGGGGGTCACTTTTGTAAAAAAAAAAAAAAAAAAAAAAAAAAGTCACTTTTGTGAAAATATGGGTCACTTTTGTAAAGAAAAAGGGCCACTTTTCGCAAAAATGTTCGATGTACAATAAAATTATTGTAAACCGGGGGCATGCAAAAGTTTTTGTTTAAACAAATGTTCATTTGGATTTAAATACCTATATATTCACTCTCATATTGAAAATTTCCACGTATACTATAATAATAGATGATTCACTTCATATTAAGTTAATATATGCTTATGAGCGTCATTTGAATATTATACTACATAAATTTTAATTCTAATATTGACATATGTTTATTCGAATTTGATATGTAGATGTTCATTTGGATATGTGTATATTCACACACATATATATATATTAATGTATGTTCATCCATAATTTCATATGTTAAAAAATGTTCAAAAATAAATCACATATATTCTTCATTCATCATTGACCTTTGATGATTCTTATTTAAATTGTAATATAATCTTATGGTATTTCATCCACATATTATATCAATACATATCAAGTTGTATTATGACATATTGAATTACTATTAATGGTCATTTTCATATTAATAGATATTCTTTTGGATTTTGATATATGTTCTTTTTCATATTAAGACATGTTCATTTAGAATTTAATACATGTTCATTTAGATTTTTTTACGTTTTCATTCTATATTGAAAGATTTTATATCTTTATAGTGTTTTCATTTCTGAATTCGTAATTGTTATTCATGCGTAAATGTTCAATTTTGAATTCTTAGATTTCCCGTACTTTTGTTAAAAATGTGTTGTTATTATTATTGAAAAACTTAATTGTTCTCTTATTATACAGTATAATCAAGTTAGAATGTTGAAGGAGACATATACATTGTGCTCGGAATATATATATATATATATATATATATATATATATATATATATATATATATATATATATATATATATATATATATATATATATATATATATATATACTACGGGCGCAACGCGCGCGGATGGTTAGTTGTTATGGTTGAATTGCCTTAATACTAAAAGTTTGTTAGGTAGGCCTTTATACACTTACTAAGCAGTTAATGGCAAGCATGCATAATGTATCAAATGTTTCGAGTTCCACCCCCTCACTTCAATATAGTTCAAATCTAGTGGAGGGTGAGCTATGGTGATTAAAGGAACTTTAGTTAGTCATTTTGATCCACACCAAGCCTATAGTTTTAAAATGATATAAGCTAATTAAATAGTGTGTAGGATTTTCATTGAACAAATAAAGAATTTATTGTAGGTTTACTGAAAAGTAGATCATTGGTGTGATATTTTAGGTATTTGGCATAATTTCTTAGAGCCTACGTTTGCAAGAGTCATTCAAAGAAAATCATTGAAGCACATAGCTTAAAAATGATATAAGTGTGCACTGTTTCCATAACCTTGTATATAATTGTGTAACTTAAGTTCTTATAAAATACTACAGAATGAAACTCCAATACAATATGAATTATGCTTACTAATGAATGCCACATTGTCAAAATCTATTTTAAAAGGTGAAATATCTTGTAAATCGAAAGAAAATTCTATCAAAGCAATATTCATTAGTGTACAGATGATAATATGAAGGGAGCTACTGTCAAAACACCAGAAAGCAGCCTGTTGAAAGTTGGAAACCATGGCCTTGCGTCTTATAATCCTCTCCAAGCAATTTGTTGCCCCGTCTATAATTTTATCACACCTTTTTAAGCATCTTGACCTGTGGATGCATAAAAAAAATAACAGTACATAGTTAAGGAAAGAGGCAGAAGAGTAATTAAAGTTAAAAGAACCCAGGACATGAAAAAAAAAAAGGCTACTAAGCAAAATTACATACCAAGATGATGTATGGGAAAAACAGGGGTGGTGTTGGATTAAGAGTGACTTGGTAATTTACTTCTCTAGTTCTCTACACTTGAAATCTACGATAAAAATATTACACTTAAAACAAATAAGCTTTGGCTATATATAATCTAACAAAATAAAATCTGTACTACAAAAGATAAGGAGAACTTACCTTCTGCAATCAGTCACAATACCATGGCTATTGACATTAACAACAACGGGAAACACAACATCTTTGACAAGCTCCTTGCCAACAAAAGACTTGTTAAAAAGGGAAGAGTGGCAAAACCCCTTCCTTCCAAAGCCTACATCATGATGAAGAAAATTGTTAAATGATAGATTGAGAATCCTTCAAGATCAATACATTAAAGAAGCAAAAAGAATATAATTCAATAAATTTACAACGAAGAGGTGCCATAATATTTATATGAGCATATATCAAGTATCTAGTCACTTGAAAAAGCAACAAATCAGTTACTACGAAATGAAATGACAGTATGTGATGCAAAACTATCTTATTTTGAGAACCGAGAACATAGGTGACATAAGAGAAGTAAAATGACTGATTTTTAGTTTATCTTTCGGATTAAGACGTTATGTCAAAATATTAGAAGGTTTTAAGTATTTTTAGTTTATTTTTTATATTTCAATTTAAGTCAATTATTGTTTTGTCTAAACCTGAGATTGTGAAAGAAAAACCTTCATACTCAACAACACTTTCACCTAGCGGCCATTGTTGTATCTCCTCTTTTCGCATGCATAATAAGATTCTCATTTAGTGAACAAATTTACTTGTTCTAGGCTTCTATCTGTGTAATAAATCCCTCCATCCCCCAATATTTGCCCACTTAAAATCTATGATCTAACTTATGATGGAGTTAAAAACACCGTGGAATAGAGGTAGTACATCCTTCACTTTTAAAATAGCTTGATGAATTACGGAGTACCTTGGCCCTTTATGAACTGTAACATCACGTGCCAATTACATTTGTGAGCCTGATTTTCTCTTCGAACACCTCTTTTGTCTCTCGTTCTTCCTCTACCTTTCTTCTGTTTCTTCTCCAATCCATCAAACAAATGATGATTTCTCCATTGAAGCGCTTTCTGAGGTTTCTCTCCTCCATAAAAGCAGTTTAACTCTTATAAATAGTGGTTTTTTTATTCTAGTGACAAGGTTGATATAACTACAATAAAAAAAACCACATCACTTTTAGTGCTGTAACACAGATATAACATTCCATAAGATCATCAATGTCAAATCATCTTATAGAATTGACTCTTTCTAAGATAAATATAACAATAGAAGAACTCATAATAAACATATGGATCCCTATCAAAGTATCAAGCGTGGTTGCTTTATGAAAATTCTCATAATTATGATCCATAATAAAGTGATGTTGGAGTGTGAATTATTAGACATTAGTTTTGCTAGTGAAGTGAAGAGTTTCTGGCAACATAGTTCAGGTTAAATAATAGTCTTCCATATACAATTTCAGAATTTCTACTAAAATTAAATAGGCTCACATGAACTAATGACAAAATTCAGAATAAAAAAATAGCAATGAATATAGCAAAATTCAGAACATTATCAATAGAATCAAGTTACAAAGAAAAAAAATTAAAAAAGAAATAAAAAATCAAAAGACGCATGAATTTACCAGGAATCTGGGAAGAAACGTTAAAGCCATCAACAAACATGTTCGATTAAAAACATCTATAAAAATAATTTAAAATATACAAATAGTCCTTAAAATACTAATGACAACTAATGAAGTTACCAGGTGAAACGGGGCGTATATGAAGAGGAAACAATTGATGAAATATTAAATCATATTGATAAATTAAATCAGATTTCAGATGGTGTAAAAGCCTAAGAAAAGCGCAATTGGTAAAATCAATCAATTGAAACCCTTGATTGAGAAAACCAAATGCACACCATTATATAGAAAAAGGACAAAGAAAGTCTTTAAAATAGAGAAGAAGAGTACCTGCTATTGTGAATGTGGACCGTGGTGACGGTGGAGATGAGGATGAAGAGGTGATTTAGATCTCCATCAAAGATCATAGAGAAAGATGAAAAGTAGTGATCTTTGGATAACTTATTGAAAGTTGAGGAAGAGAGGAAGAGGTCAAATAATAAACGTAGGGTAGATAGGTAAATAAAATTTTGTTAAGGGTATATAACGTCAACACACTATTCATAAGAGTAAGTTTCAACTTTTTATATGGTAGGGATATCCGGATATATATATATATATACACACACTTTATTATACCAAATCTAACAAAGAATGTTCATTTAACCACACACATATGTACATTTGGTTCATTTTCACGTTTATAAAATAATTACATGTAATAGAATAGTTGTATGGAAATGCGTTATTATTGTAATTAAATTGAGTTAGTTTATATTGAAAATTATTTTTTAACAAGGTTTTAGTTATATTTTTACAATTCTAAGACCTATGCATTTGCGTTGTAAAACTTACACGTTGCTTTTGAAATGAACATCCAATGATACAAAAATGAACATTTATTGAAACACGAATAAACAAAAACGAACATGATATAATATTTCTTATAATAAAAATGATTTGAACGCAGTAATCTTTATAAATAAATTTACTCTCATTTTTATTTATAAAAAACTTCTTAAAATTTAATTCAGAAAATATATTAATTTGATGAACAAAAAGTTTGTGTCATAAAAATGAACATCTAATAAAATTCATAAACGAAAAGAGGTGGGGCAGGACACGCGCGGAGGGTGAAGGGGGTGCAGCAGGTAAAGATGGACATCGTGGCGTGCCTGGCCGTCACAGGCCGCGCCAAAGGGGGAAGCGTGTCGTGCCAACTTTTGGTACACCCCAACCCACGGCATGACACGACCCCACGTGCCTAGCAGGTTGTGCCGTGCCGGGCCACGTGCCAAGCCGATTTTTTTTTTAATTCTTAATATATATGTATATTACAATAAATCGATATATAATTATTTTTTTAACAACTTAAGTTTATATTAATAATTTTATTAATTGTTTATGTTAATGTTAATATATTTTTAATTGAACAACCTTAATTTAATTAAGATTACATTAATAAATTACGTTTAAGTTTATATAAATAATTTTATTAATTTAACAAAAAACAATAATGCTTGTCGTGCTGGGCCGTGTCAGCTTTCTGACCCACGGGCCGGCCACCGTGCCCGTGCCGTGCCAAAATTTCATTTTTGTGTCCACGACACGTATAAATTTTTACCTACACTCCAGGGTAGGTAGAAGTCCCTACACCCCTCCCCACTGTATAACCCTACACCCTTTCCCACTACATCTCTCTCATCCTTTATCTCCCCCTACAAATTATAGCAACTATCATCGCATCTCATCCCCAAATTATATATATATATATAAACTCTAACTATAGCATAGTCCGTCCATTTTTGGCGCTTTCACCGCCATTCTCTTCTTCTCCGGCGACAATCTATAACTTGTCCCGTCTACAGTATGAACTCCGGTAAAATCTCAAAATTGATCACTTTAAAACACTCGATTTGTATAAAGAATCTCGGATCTTCGAAATTATATATAATGGTAGTTTCAGTCGTGCTTCTAGTGGCAACAGTTGTGGCTATGGTGGTAGTCGTGGTTATGGCGGTGGTAAGCGTATTGAAAGCAGAAATTTAAAGGAAGGTTTTGATTACATGGAATAGAAGTAGATGTGGAAGATGATTTCATCGCATCACCTTCACCATGGATCGTTCGTCACTGAGAAAGCATAGCGGCTTGAATTGATTTGGGATGGCGATGAGGCTTGAATATCGAACAGAGGAAATTCGAAATTGTTGGCAAACTACTTTAATTTTATTATTGAACATTTAATATTTTTTAAATGAACATCTTTTTTAATGGTTGTAAAAAAGAACATTAGCATTAAAATAACCTATAGCGGTTAACGTATCAGTTGCAAATTTATTCATTGACCAATGAAAAAAAAAACATCTTTCAATTAAAAAGTAAGTACTCCATATCTAAAAGTTAATAACATAAAAATAATAAGATATGTTAATTGTAAAATATTCAATAATACGCAAATGAACATTTAGTATTATAAATATGTATTTTTTTAATGTTCATTTTTATATGCGTAAATGTTCATTGATACATAATATAATAAATTTTATAAATATAACTGTCGGCGTCGTTCGAAGTGCGCCTACGTAAAAACATGTTGTGAATATGCTTGGCACTCATAGGAAGTGGGAATTGACATAATACGATTAGGGACAAGGAAAGTAGGGAGTCGCCAACAAGTTTTTAAGGAACTTGTAAGCCGTTCACGAATCATAAAAGGCAACCACGAAAAGGGACCTATTGATCCGTGAAGGTTACACCCCATTCATAATCCATGAGATTACTAACTCCATATGGTTTGGAACCACGAAAGGAGGGTCAGGGATGATGATACGAAGTGAGTCATGGAGTCACATTCGCCCGCATTGGCCTCTACTCGATTCTTATAGTGAAAAGTAATTCCTGCGATCTCAAAGGCATGCAAACAAAGATTTAATTTGCTCCAAACTGTTATTAGGCTAAATTGGTTGAATATTAATGCAACATATAATTCTAAAATATTAGTGATCACTTGATTAAACAACAAGATTAAAAAGGAACCTAAACCGGTTGTCCAAATTATCTTATTAGGCGTGATTTTCAATTACATATTCCCTTTAAACATGCAATATAGTGATCAATAATAGAATAAACATTAATATTGGAAGCAATTCAACAATAAATTGTTAGTCAAATCAAATCATTATAAACATAATCATGATACTAGCACACAAGAATAAAAATTAGAGTAATTAAGTGATTAATTACTCACTTTCCGCGATCCCTTGAATTGGTACATCATGAATAAACTGTTAGTAACTTCAATTAAAATAAAAATCAAATTGAAATTAAATTAAATAAAAAGTAGAGTTGATTTGGTCCAAACCCTCAGTTAATTATACCTTACACGCCTTGGTAAGGACGGAACCTCGGGTTAAGTATGGACTCCTTGGAGTGGTTAAGGGAAGAATGGTGTAATTAAGAAATATAGGTTTAAGGCTTAGAATATGAGAGAGAGAGAGAGAGAGAGAGAGAGAGAGAGAGAGAGAGAGAGAGAGAGAGAAGAGAATGGTTTTTGGTGTAAAAGAGAGGAAGAGAGAATGATTGTGTGATCAAGCTTGTTGATGATTAAAAAAAGGGGAAATATAACCTCTATTTATAGAGAAAAAGATGGGTCGAAAAAACAAGATAAGATCCGAATTAAATCGGAATAAAACTCGACAGATTGCAGTTTTTGCGGTTTTGTTTTTATCATATCTTTTGATTCAGAAATTGGAATTAGATAAATAAAATATCTTTGAAAAGCTCTTGAAGTCTAATTTCTAACCCAATTAGAATCAGATTAAAATATTTTGTAGAATAAAAGATATGGTCGAAATAGTGAGACGGTGTTAGTTTTGGATAGAGTTTGATATTTCATTCATATCTTTTTCGTTATAACTCGGAATTGATATTATAATATATCATTGGAAAGATAATTTCAAGGGCTATCCAACCATATAAGATTTGTATAAAAACTATGAGGCACAAAAATAATATCTGTCTATCTTTGAACGTCTTTCAATTCGAATAGAATTAGGACTTTCAAAAAGAAAAGTTTTATTTAATTTCAAACTCTTTAATCTTATCTTTTCAAAAAGGATAATTAAGATCTTTTAGAAACTTACAGAATCTTCCAATTAATCCTAATTGGTTTAGGAATGGGATAAAATCCTTTATATCCTCCACATGATCATTGGGTCGTGGGTAAGGTGGGCTTAAATTCGGTTTGGGCTCGATTTAGTATTTTGGCCATAACTTATTTGTTATAACTCGGATTTGGGCTTATAATATATCGTTGAAAAACTCTTTTAAAGCCCCATCCAACTATTCCATAATTGGACCCTGATTATGGACCAAAATAAACTGTACTAAACGTTTTTTTATAAAAAGGGCACGAAATGAATTATTTTGGGTTTAAAGGCACGAAAAGAGGAAAATAAGTTATGGTTTGGGGAAATGAGCACTCCAAAAATTAAATACTCAACCCGACCAATAATGGCGATGAAAGGTTGTTCATCATCGGGTTTGGTTTTGGGGAGACATTTTTAGGTGTCTACTGTTTCGGGGTTTTCTGATGTCCTGCGGGAGAGTTACAATTCCGAGACTGGAACCGGACGCCTGTACCTGCAAAACAACGGAGACTCCTGAGAGCTCCGCCTCCAACGGTCAAGTTAGTACCTGATTAAGGAGTAATCAATACAGAAAGTAAAGTAATGAGATCTCTCTAGGTGAGAGTGCTTAGTGTTGGTAATCTGCGTCGTTAGCGAGATTAGCCGGTTGTTAATAAGTCTGTTCTTCTCTGCTTGATCTCTTAATTATTCGGTCCTCGATTAATGAGGATTAATCGAGTATTTATAGCCTTGGGAAGCGTGCAACTCTCTAGGTTTAAGGTAAACCTAGGGCTGACCGGGCCTCTAGACTGAATTGGGCCTTGATGGCCGGTTGTCCCATTTGGCATGGGTGGACACGTGGCGTGTCTTAAGTGGTCCGTGGAGGACGTATCTGTGATTGACACGTGGCAAGCTCCTGTTGGCCTTTGTGAAGGACACGTGGCGGAACCTGGTTGGTCCACTTGTCAGATGGTGATTGGTGGATAAAAATCCCCTAATCATTTGCCCCTCACAGGTGGCACGCGACTGGTCGCGTGTCGCCTGTGACAGGTGTCGCACGGTGACAGGCGACGGCCCGTTACAGGTGTCACCTTGCAGACGGCCGAGAGATTTTCCCGCCCAAATTTGAATTCGGAAGCGACCCTTCGCCTTCTCATTTTGCCTATAAAAGGAAGTGCTGACTTCGGTCATTTTCACATTTGAGAACTTTTGCGAGAACATTCGGACCCCTGAACTTGCTCTGACATTTCGGACTTTTTCTGCCTACCGCCTGTTCTGACAAGCCGACTGACCCGAACTTCCAGGACTTCATCAACCGTCACTCGTTCAGGTAACTCAGTTCTCTTACTCTTAATTTTCTTTTTATTTTTTG